ATAATAATAATAATAATAATAATAATAATAATAATAATAATAACAATGTCTGAACCAAAAAATTAAATACTAGCCTCAGAAAAAACAAAGTGACAAGAAAATAAGTGGAATCATATTATACCTCTCCATATCAGCATTGACTGATCTGTGCATAGCATTCAAACCATCATACAAACCAATATACCCAATAGTATAAGCAATACTGGGTAGGACATATACTGACACATTTTGAAAGCCATAACTGTAGATGCCTTGTAGGTATTGTGAATAATTGTATGAATCCATTATCTGTCACATGTGGCCCAGTGCACGATACATGAGCAAATATAACCACAAAATCTAAATTCACACATTATGCTCAGTGAATATAGAACACAAAAACAGGATTGAAACACAAATAAATTAGTGAAACCCAACAAATGCCAGATGACCAGCAACCAAAAACAGAGGAGATGAAAAAAATATACCCACTGCGAATCCAACACGTGGCCATTTATGCCGCAGTCATGAAACCACTGAGACGTAATAATTGCACATATGTCCGTCTATCAGTGGTTACCGTGGTTTTTTGCACATTTATTTGTGTTGGCATGAATATGTGTACCGTGCGTCTGTGGTGTCGTAGTTTACTCATTTATAGCAAAAATTGAAGTAAAAGAGGATTTTACACCTATTTGTGATCAAGAATTAACAATAAAGCAATATCATGAATTAACAATAAAGTAAAACCACTACCTTGTCTTGAAGATGTTATATATATAACACGTACACAAGGTTACTTCGTAGGAATCTGCATCATATGAATAATTTTCAAAGTTTTGTTATATTTTAGGAATAAAGGGTTTAAATTGCTCTAACGTCTCAAATTAATATCGACGTATCATATTCATTATCTCTCTAACTATGAATTTAGTGGGTGACATGGAAAATCTGCCACCATCAGTCGATACTGATGACACATATATGAAAAGGTTGTTATTCATTGTGATTATTTATGTATATTTTTTTGATTCTATACGTGACTAATCACATGATTAATACTACCTAACTATATTTAGTTCTGTCTGAATCTATGTTGTACCTAATTATTAATCTGACTTATTTTACTTGATTCCGATTTGGAAAAGAGCGAATATCTTGACTCATACTGTAAAAGTTATTGTTAATCGAAACATCGGCAAAATTAAGCTGCCGAAAGCAGGTTTTACATACTTTAAATTGCAGAACATTACCTTGTAGTTCTTAACATTTTCGAGAATACTAATAGTGTTTAAAATCGTATCATCTGGAGATTCACAGTAAGATTATTCATCTGTTAAATGAATCCGAATCAGTCTTTACAGGTGTTATTATCAGAAACGCGCTGAACTGGAAAATGAAGTGGTTATGCTACGAGAGCTTAGACATCCACATTATATTGTTGAAATTAAAATGCTTGAAGAAAAGTTTAGTGCAGAATTAGAACGCGAAGAAATTGCTAATCAGGTATCAACAATCTACTTTCACATTTATTACTTCATTTACTCATTGGCTGTCAGCAGGTCAATGTATCAATAAATATAGCTTCAAGCGTTTTGTCTTAGTTTCAAAAATTCAACTTTTCACATTCTTAATTCCATAAATCAGTGCTCAATATGAGCATTTTCCATCATGCTTCTGTGATATGTTATTAAGTCCTAGTCTATAAATTTTATTTAATGATTATTACGTTGAACTCTTTAATGTGTTGTTCAGGTAGGACATGACATTTTCTTTCTTCACTACTTCAGTAATAGTCTCATTGTAAGTGCTACATTATTTATTCACTCTTTGTTCTTACAACGCATCTTACTTTAATATTGACTAAGTGACTACATCAGTTAAAAGCTGATGTTTACATTTGGCTATTAACAGATGAATTTTGTAATCCCCTTTAATTTGGTTCTCTTTTTAGTCATGTAATACCTCTCAAGGGTTGATTTGTGAGATCCAATTTTTGATTGTTTCGAAATGTTGTTAAAATGTTTCGAAATGTTGTTAAAATCAATAGCTGGAAAATGAACGGATCCAAGAGCGCTACGAGCGAGAGAAGAAAGCAGCTGAAAAAGAGCTTGAAGAACGTTTAACAGAACTAATGGAAACTATGATACAGGAATGTGAAGAGCTAAGGAAAAAGATTGAACATGAATTTCATAATTCAGAGATTTCCAGTGCACCAGGAAGTGACTACCCGAACAAAAAAAGTCTTAGGAGGTTTTTTTTCATTAGAAACTGAAAATCTGAGACTACTATATTTTCGGATTCAAGAAAACTACAAGTGTATAAAAGGTGCCAAATGTTTTTGTATTTATTATTCATGCAAATGGATTTGATTTGCATGATGTATATATACTCGGAACTGTTATTAGCAAGATGAAAAGTTCACTTGTTTCAATTAATTGCTAGAGTTTAACTTTTTTATACGCAGATTGTGAAGGGTTTGAAAAATTTCTGTTGTTATAAACTATAGATTACGCGAGCAAGCAATGAAGCTCAAAATAATACAATATTTTTAGGCGTCCTAATGAACCAACGCCATATAATGAGAAGCAAGCACAATCTAAAAGTCAGCTGAGCATACCAGATTCTTTAACCGAACAGGAAATTCAGCAAGACTTACTTTTGCTGGATGAAGCAGAACGGAGGCGTCCTTAAAACGATCAGTTTGCATTGTATCGGAATCATTTGCCTTATGTTCCCAAATTATTAAGAATTTATTTCACTGATTTTAATTTTTATTAATTGATCTCTGTGAGATTTGATCATTTCAAGATCAAAAATGTTTTGGATAAAATTCAAGTGGTATTTTTTGAGGTAAATAGTTTATTTAGAAACACATCTCTGGACGACAGTTTAAATAATGCGGTGATGTGTTAATTAGGTGAGTGAAGTAGGGTTTTCCCCATTTTATTCATGAGAACCTCATTAAATCAAGATCTGCTGCAAACGTAGAAAAAGAATTTGTTCAAGTCTTGTTATTGCTTTCCTTCTCATTGTTAATACATATTCTGACTTTTCCATCATATTTTACTCGATCTCTGCACTATGTAATTACATACTTGTGTCTCGCATATCATCATGCATATAATTTCAGTGCTAATTTCTCTCTCTTAATCTTAAAACTCACTCGTAACTTGATATATCTGAAAGTATTTCTAAAGCTAAGGTGATGTTTCGTGAAGGTCTTGTTTGATTTTACCGGTACTTTTCGATTACATACTTCTATAATGGATGCAGCTGAATTTGCAGACATGCAGAATTCAAAATTAGGACTATACTCTTCACTCTTTGTGCCACCAGTGTTTTTTATTTCTAACTTGAGACATTTCGTGATTACTCTGTTAAAAATGTGTAACTTGATCTCTTTCTTCAGATGCACCTCATTATTGTCTAATGTTGCATTTCTTGTGACCTGTCCAAAATATATATCGTGCATCACATATACGTATTGACAGTGTTTACAGCATTCGAATGAAAGTATTTTGCTGTATTTGATGAATTTGACTGCCATTCTTGGAGAATCAGTCTGTTCATCACATTTCATCTAGTAAACTTATAGCTTAAAACATCTATGTTGCTTTTTCTCTCACCTTGGTATTAAAATTGCAGAGCAAAGATGACGCTGTAGTGGTTCTATTGTTTAGTGATGGAAATGAAGACATTGTATTCTCTTATCAAATTCAAATTACCTAGTCAGCTACATTGATAATTTTGTACAAAATTCATCTCGATTTACTTAATACGGTCAGCGATAGTAGTAAAGTAGGTAAGCAATTCTGCTACTTCTGGATGTATGGGTCGTCAAATGAGACTATCCTTGCAAGATATTTCTACGGGTTATACATGCGTTCCTTCTGTGAATTCTTTTTTGGACCGCGAAATCACAAAAATTAGGCCGTGTTCTTGTATGGCGAAACTAAAGAGCATCAATCGGTCTTTTGCCTTATTTGGTTGGTGTGAGAGAGATGAACTGAAATGGAAGATAGCATTGGTTTAATGAGTATTGCATGTGTCTACTACCTATGTTTGATGAGTTCTACTCATATATGTGCATGAGGTCATCGCGTGTACTGGCGTGAGCATACGGGGAATAGATTCATTTGAAACTTGATAAATTTTCATCTTGGTGCTTTGTGATGCTAAGGCACAGTCATGTTTAAGGATTTTTTGATCATTTTGTGATTTCTCTTTTCAGTGTAAAATTTTGGTTTGTTGTTACAAATGATATGCGAAAAAAAGTTTCAATGTCTTAGCAATTCTTCATCACCATTTATTGTATTCAGTATCTTTGTCATTGAGAGAAATAACATGCTCGGAATTCTTCATTTCATTTATAAACATTGAGGCAGTTCGGTATTTCATTTTTCATGATGGCTAGATACCGTTGTGAGCTTCAAAAAAATTCATCAATATAATTAATGTTCTGAAATTATAAATGTGATTTACCCAAACTCAGCGTTTTTAAACTACTAAACTTAAGATTATTTTATTTATGAAAAGGTGTTTATTATGTGGAAAAATTTAAAGATTGGGAGGAAACATGGCTACAGCGGTAGACGTAAATCAAGGAATTACCGGTGAAAGAACTGCCACTATACGAAATTATAATACCAATCCACGGCTAAGTAAGTTTGTCTTCTTTGTTTGGTTAAGCTATTGCATTTTTTTAAAGTAATAGCTTCAGTTTAGTTTTAAATTGAAAATTGTATTGATATGGCTGGAAATGTATGAGAAGCGCATATATGTTAGGTTGCTATTAAGAGGATTTTGTTAAATTTCTTTGATTTTCTTATTTTACTAGCGAGTTTTCCGTGATAACATTTGCTGTTTTTTCTTCAATATAATTCTTTCTACAAGTTGAAAGATTTGTTTGTGGTAATATTTGTGGGAGTTTTTGTTGCAGCATATAAAACAGTTACTGGCGTTAACGGCCCATTAGTTATTTTGGGTGACGTGAAATTTCCTCAGTACGCTGAAATAGTTCGGTTGACATTACCTGATGGGACCAAGCGTTCTGGACAAGTTCTTGAGATTACTCGTAATAAAGCTGTTGTTCAGGTTTAAATTCTTAAAATCATATGCTTATATTTCTTCTTCATTTTTTAGACATTGAAGACAATACTCCATTTGTAATTTTGGTTGAGAAATGAGAAGTTCTTTTGAATATACAAAGAAAAATTGTATTGACATGGTTGTCTTCAATGTGGAAAGCATATTCTATTTTGACGTGTCGACTTTTGTGCACTATAGAAATTTCCATATGCAGAAATTTGTAATTAAGATACAAACTGCCTTCACATATATTGCATAGTATTTAGAAATATAACTCCAGAAGCATTTATAACTGGTTCATAATAGAAACAAAGAATCTAGTTTCAGGTTTTTGAAGGTACAGCAGGGATAGATGCTAAAAACACTTCTTGTGAGTTCACGGGCGATATTTTACGGACTCCTGTGTCGGAAGACATGCTTGGCCGTATATTCAATGGTTCCGGTAAACCAATTGATAAGGTACGCACTGTGTTATACTATTAATTTACTAAAACTATTATCTAGGATGAAGTAAATTTTTCTCAAATTTCGCCATCTAAACTTCCTTAAGTAAGAGTTTAGGGTCCACCGGTATTGGCTGAAGATTTCCTTGATATTACTGGTCAACCAATCAACCCAAGATCTCGAATTTATCCTGAAGAAATGATCCAAACTGGAATTTCTGCTATCGATGTTATGAATTCGATTGCTCGTGGTCAGAAGATTCCAATTTTCTCTGCTGCTGGCCTTCCTCACAACGAAGTGATCTATTTTTTTATTTCTGTGAATTTTTTTGATCTGCTAAATCTTTTGGATAAATGACACAGACAATTCGAAGCAAATTTTTTTATTTTGTTGGTGATAGTTAAACTTGTGTGAAAGATGTTTTATAGATCGCTGCACAAATTGTTCGTCAAGGTGGTCTTGTAAAATTGCCAAGTAAACCTCACGATGCTGCTGAAGATGACTTTGCTATTGTTTTTGCGGCAATGGGTGTTAATATGGAAACTGCACGTTTTTTCAAGCAAGATTTCGAGGAAAATGGTTCAATGGAAAATGTTTGCCTATTTCTAAATCTCGCGAATGATCCAACGTATGAGTTTGTGTAACTAAATAAAAATAGTATCTTATATTTTGGAACACATATAAGTGTAATGTAAGTTAAAAGTATACTGATCTGACTACTACCTATGAAATGAGGGCATGCATTATCGCCTCATAAATTGAATTTTCAATGCATTAATAAATTCACTTTATCTGTTTCTCCTCTTTAGAATAATTTAAGAAGTAGTTGTTTATATTGTTTAATAAGGGTATAACTTCTGAGTTTATAAAAACTTGAGGTTTTTCAATTCAAGCCAGATTGTATTTTAGCATTGAACGTATTATCACGCCACGTCTTGCTCTCACTGCTGCTGAATTTTTGGCTTACCAGTGTGAAAAGCATGTGCTTGTTGTCTTGACTGACATGTCTTCATATGCCGAAGCCCTTCGCGAAGTAAAATTGATTTATTTTGTTACTGAAATAAGTATTAGCAGCATAGAAAACTTGTTGAGTTGCAAATTAAGTTTTCGCTTCAAATATGTTTGTTATAGGTATCAGCTGCTCGAGAAGAAGTTCCTGGACGTCGAGGCTTTCCAGGTTATATGTATACTGATTTGGCTACTATCTATGAAAGAGCTGGTCGAGTGGAAGGACGTAAAGGATCCATAACTCAAATTCCCATCTTATCCATGCCGAATGATGGTGTGTTGTGTTAAATTGGTTGCAGAAACAGTTGTAAAAAAGTACTGAGCACTTCTTTAACTTTGTGCATTACTTTATAGCGTAAATCTCTATTTTATAATGAAGTCATAGTGTTTGAAATTTGATTTAATTACGTTTATATCTACATGACTATTGATAAGCTTAAATTTTCAGACATCACACATCCAATACCTGACTTAACTGGTTATATCACTGAAGGACAAATTTATGTAGATCGTCAATTACACAATCGTCAGATATACCCTCCTATTAATGTACTACCGTCATTATCACGTTTGATGAAGTCAGCTATTGGTGAGGGCATGACGCGTGAAGATCATTCAGATGTTTCAAATCAACTTTATGCTTGTTATGCTATTGGAAAAGATGTACAAGCAATGAAGGCAGTAGTTGGAGAAGAGGCTTTATCTTCCGATGATTTGCTTTACCTAGAATTTTTGACCAAATTTGAAAAAAATTTCATATCCCAAGGTTTGTTCATGTATTATTTTATTCTGTTTATTGTACTCTTTTTGATCTCGATATAATGCAGAAAAGTTCTAATCACTTCAAAATTTTCATGAATTTTAGAGCACTGCTGAATATTTTATCATTAATCAACAGTTGAGGAGAATCTGAATAAGGATATTGTGGGAGAAAATAGTTATCAATTAGTTTCTTTAAATACAAGTTACTTCCATCTTTTATTGCAGGTAACTACGACAACCGAACGGTATTTGAATCCTTAGACATTGGATGGCAGTTGTTACGGATATTCCCTCGTGAAATGTTGAAGCGCATCCCTGCGACAACATTAGATAAGTATTATCCACGAGGTGGAGCAACAAAAGATATCAAGGAAACAAAGGGAAAAGATGTAAAAAAATAAAGTTTTAACAATTCAAAATCCATGACATTTTTGATATATAACCGAAAATCTGTATAAAATTACATTTTTATCATCATTTCGGTTTACGCTATGGTTGTGACGTATCTGTTTACTACCATTACAGTGAGAAGTACTATTAATAAAGAATTAATAAATCTTGTTAATCCTAAAAAGGAAATCCATGAAGTTTTACAAAAAAATACGAATATTTAAGTTATCAGATTTCAAGTTCATTTTCAACTAAGTAAAACATTCAAGTTTTAAATGTTTTACTTTGTTGAAAATGTGATGGACTCTCTGCAATCGGTAGCACTTTTTTCTTGTGATATTGATGGTTTTTGATTTTGTAATAATAGCTACAAGATTTCATACTTGATGTAACAGACTCAATTCTTCCTTATTTTGGGTTCTTTTTCGTCACTTTCAATTTGTATTAAAACACAAAATTGGAAAGACTCATTTAAAATAATCATAAAGCATTAGAAATAAAATAAGGGTTCAAAATCACAAAATATTTATTCTTGTGATCATTTTTTAACTAATTTGAGGTGATAAAAAATTCAAATGGCAATTTTATTTTTTATTATTGTTCTTCCTAGTCTTGAATATTTATTATATCAGTAGAAATATTTAAAGAAGTTGTGTATTTTTTCTCTTATTTTGTAGTTTGCTAATCTGGTTATCCTCTAATTTCTGATACGGTGTCCGTAAACAGTTGTGATATCACATATTAGGCTTTTTGTATTTATGAAATATTTGTTGCAGTAGGATATAATAATATGTCAATGTATTTATCAAAAATAAAATGCTGCATACCTGTCTCATTCAATATCTGCTTTAATTCATGTTACAGTTTCAAAAATTAGGGTATTTAATACATAGAAACATCGTCAAGTAAATCCGAATTGAGAAGTTTCATGAAGATTACCAAAAAGGAATACTAAGTACAGTGTTTAACTTCATCTTCATGGGTTGTAGCTTTAAGAATATTTCTATTTTTCTTGTAAGCATTGTCTAATTTAGTGTACTACTATTTACTTACTGTTTGGTATTTGTTTAATTAAAAATTTTAAATAGTAAGGATGACATCTTCGGTGAAGAGTGAACTAACTGAACTGTATTAAGTATAATTAACTAATCTTACGTACTTAATTTACTGTAAACATTCAACTTTGGATATGAAGCATAAAAATGGATGGATATTTTTTCCTTAAGGGTAGCGGTTGCTCGATTCCACTAGTTATCACATTACTATTTTTCAAATCCATTGTAACTAGTAGAACTTAGTAGATTATTATGTGGTAGTATTTGGGCATTGAGATATTTGTAAATTTCCAAAGTATATGTATTTGGTTTTCCGTACAACATTCTTCTGGAAATAATTTAGCAATCAAATTCTTGAAAGAATTCGAGTCTTTCTAAACAGTATATCTGTAGGTAAAAGAAAGTATGGGATAAATGAAAATGAAGAGACTGTCATAATTTGTAACATGAAATAAGCAGAGGAATCTGGTCTTAAAGCGGAAGATTGTTGGAAGAATTGTGATACATTAACTTAATTGCCTATATCGGGCAAAGGTCATGTAGATCGAATATGTTACTATTTTTCAGTCTACATGATGGGTCTAATTAATCTTTTGCTTTTCTCTCGGGTTGTAAGATAGCTCTTAATTAACGATGACTTTATTTAGATCTTTAGTCAGTATTTCCTTAATATTATTAATTCAGAAGTGAATTCCAGTTATTCATAAATTGATTGTAATTGTTTGTATATCCTGATCAGTCGCAGTTGCAATTCGAAAACTTGATATGATTCTAGTTATCGAGTTAATCGTTATCTGTATTTTTCATAAAATTTTCTGTCTTTCGAATTGTTCAGTCGTTTAGTTGTCGTTTAAGTGATTATGAATAAATCATAGTTTTTTTTTACTTACTGCTTAGTTATGATTTTTTTTCATCTACTCGCTTTCTATTTCTGTTTTAATTTATTGTGTACTTATTTTTGGTACGTACTCTCTATTTAGACGCTATCAATTTATTTAGTGATGACCGGAAAATCAGAGCAACTGGAAGTCAGTGTAGAACAAGACAACGAGAGACCAGAGCTGATAACTGTCAATAAGGAAAAGGATCCGGATTTATCAAATTTTATCAGACTTCGTGGTTTACCCTTTTCAGCCAAAGAGGATGACGTCCGAACTTTTTTGCAAGGTTAATTTTCCGATTTTTAGAAGTCATTTGCAGCTTTTAATGCTTTTTGTTGATCAACGTTGAACTGTTCTTAATGCTATCTACCAGTTTAGAAACTATGTTCATCATATGCAAAGTCAGTAGCTAATTTCTTCTACAATTTCAAAAATTTCATTATAAATCGAAGTGTACAGGAATTTCAGACTGCGAAAAATATAAAATGATTGTAGTGATTCATTTGAGATTGTTTCAGAGCATTGTGAAGGCATAAAACTGTTCAAAGTATGTGTTAATGTCAGTTTTAGGTCTATTGAAAAAATGCTTTTTTTTTCAGGCTTAGAAGTAAAATCCGTGACATTCACATTGACATCAATGGGACGAGCAAGTGGCGAATGCTACGTTGAATTGCTAGACAAAGCTGCAGCAGAGGAAGCGAAGCGTTTTGATAAAGAAGAAATGAACAATCGTTATATAGAAGGTGATTTATCAATCTGTGTCTTACAAAATTTTTTTGCTTGATCTATATTTTCTACCTGTAGTTTTAGATCGTATTTGAGAATCATGTCTTGTTTTTGTTAGCGTTTACAATGTGAAATTCGATTAAATATTATCTTTATCAATAGTTTAGAATCTTGATCTATGTGAAGCGTAATACTTCGAAATTGTTCTTTTAAAATACTGTTGTAAAAGTTTTTTGCAGTGTTTAGCGTGACAGAAAATGAAGTTGCGTGGATGACGAGGCATAACGTGATTCGAAAAGGTGATGAAGAAGTGCCTTATAACTTTGTTGTCAGACTTCGGGGCATACCATTCAGTGCAACAGATAATGATGTGAAAGAATTTTTTGATGGTACTGAATGTTTTTTGTCTGTTAATAACACTATGTTCTTAGTTTTGTTTCTAGATTAATCATAAGAGTAGGGTGTTTGTTCCGACATTGTCTCAGTGCACACATGCGTGGGGTAAGTTGCCTCCTTCTTTCATTGGTGCGTAGGTCTTTGTAACATTAGAATTCTCATCTGGTATAGATAGATGATTGTTTATTAGTGTTGCAGTTCGACGTATTGTTTTTTGGCGGTGTGGAAATTTCAGTTATTGAATGTCTTGCATTTATGCAAATCGATAGCCAGCTTCATATTTCTGGAAGGGAGGTGACTCCTTAATAATTATTTATTTGGTGGTGTAAGTATGGGATATAGGATTGGAAGTGGCAGATGTTGTTATCGACAAGGAGCCGGGGGGTCGCCCGTCTGGGGAGGCATTCGTACGGTTCGCTAGCAAGCAGCATGCAGAGATGGCCCTGGAACGGAACAGAAACAACATGGGTTCGAGGTATGGGCAAATAAACATCAAATAACTCACTACTTACCTCTTTTTGATGAAAATTGCATCTCAACCAACTCATTAAAATGGCTGAATTTGGTTATGTTCATGACGTTGATAACTGAACACTGTATTCAGTTAGGTTTGAATTATGGGAATGTTTGTTTGTAATATTTATGGGTAGCATAAAGGGTCAAGTAAATCATATTTGTGAAGGTACTGCTTGAAAACCTTTTTGGGACTAGCGAATTTGAAATAAGTAGTGTTCATTTACTGATTTCAAATTTCAAATTTCATAGAACTCTTTATTCAATTTCATAGAACTCTTTATTCTGCTGATTGAATGTATATTTTGTTATGAAGTAGAATAGCTACATCACTCCTTTCATTTTTGTCATCAGATTAATATGATACAATGAGAAATCATTTTTCTTATTGTCGTCTTCTCTAGTTATATCTCTTATGGAGATTAAATGCCTTTAAATTTAGATTAGTCGAATTCCTCATTATTAGTATACATTTCATTGCATAATCTTTAATATTAATGATTAAATGAGGAAAGCTATTTCTCCTGAAACTTTATGCAGTATTCAAATCTAGCAATTGCTATGCTGAGGTAATCGAAACATGAAGTAATGACTGAGTGCGAGATCTTTATTTCAGCTTAAATAGAAATATTAATAAATTGTAATATTTTCACAAATAGGTAGTATGTTTGTATGATTTTATCTCTTAGATATGTGGAAGTTTTCCGAAGTTCTGGTGATGAGCTGGAAAAATCCAAGGATTGCCATTTTCTACCGCTGGCATCGTTGAGAAGTTTAACAGTTGAACGCAATTTTCCAGTGTCTCGTTGCGAACCTATACCTTTACGATTTGCTAACATGAAACTTAGCAGTATACGGCCCTATCGGTAAGGTTTTTCAAAATTTAAATGAAATTAAGATGAGAATTTGTGGAAGGGAACACTTAGTAAACGTACAAACTAAGGTACAGTTATTTCCTGTCATGAGGTAAGGGGAATAATGTCATACGTAACTTAAAAGGTGTCAATGTTGACTATTTGACAGCCATATTCTTTTTAACTAGCCTGGTTCTATTCTATTAAAAGATCGCAAATTCAGTTTAACTGGCAATAAGTCGTAAATTTATTATATTTCGTTTGTTTTTAGAAGAGAGGAATATGTGGGTCCATTGAGGAATGTCAGTATAGGTCGACCGCGTGTTAGTCCTTACGATGTCTTCCGTGGACGTTTCTTACGTTATTCGGAATATAGATTCGAAAGGGATCTTGATTATGACGATCCAACCAAAATTTATTTGCGGGGTATATTTTAACATATTTTCAAATACTCTTGTTTCTTCTCTCCTACATTATTAATGCTATTCCTAATAATAGTCTTGCTGCTTCTTTCGCTTTTAATAAATTTAAGAATTTAATTTTGTCTAAAGGTTTACCATATACTGCCAATGCTCTTGATATCGAGGATTTCTTCAAACCACTACGTTGCATTGAAATCCAGTTAGGATTCAATGATGATCGTCGACCATCTGGTGATGCATGCGTTATTTTTGGTTCAATAGCTGATGCACATGAGGCAATGGCTAAAAATAAGCATTGCATCGGTAATAGGTAAGCATGATAAATAATTTGGAAACCTCTAGTTAAGCTGTCTCTCTGATTATTGTTTTGGAAATCAGTGAATAATGTAAAATTGTGCGAGATATTTCATTTTAATTTAGATTACATCAAAATTCAAGCTTCATCTGGTTCAATACGACACATCTACAATGATAATCAGATATTCTGCAGATATATTGAACTGTTTACTGCACTGGACGTACCTATTGCCCAAAAATACGTCATTTACCGAAAAATTGGTGGTACAAGTGAATATCCGCTATTATCAAATATAGGGTCACGTGTTCCAGCTGCTTTAAGCCGTATCAACTGTGGTCCATACGATGACTGGAATGATTGTAATTTGGGAATTGGTCGCCATTCAGGCTTTCAGCGCAGATTATCTTCATTTAGTCGTATAGGCTGTTTAGTGAAGGCTTCAGAATGTTGTGGAGTTGAAAGTTGGTGTGATTCCGACTTAGGTAGAAATTGTAAGTTTTTCAAGCTCAGTAAAAAGTACAACTTTTGGTTTGTGAAGTGAAACCAAAGTGAAAAATGTATTTCCAAAAAAAAGTACAACTTTTGGTTTGTGAAGTGAAACCAAAGTGAAAAATGTAATATATATACATACGGAATTAAAAATTTTTTTTTCCTGTTCTTTTTAATAAGAACGAAGATTTGAAGTTTCATAAAATAGTGCTGATTTTGCCGGTGTAAATATTTTTGAAGGTTCAGCTGGATATAACGGAATAGCAGGTGGATATAGTTCAAGTTATGCTGCAGGAGGACAGCAGGTCTGATCTCTTGTAGCTGCTTCATATATCATTATAAAATCGATTTTATTTAATAAATTTTATGACTATTTATCTAAGAAAGTTTATTTCGGGATACCAAAGTTACTGAAAACTGATTTTATTTGACAAAAAATCAATTTTCAGTTTTACAATGATGAATATGAGGGAAGACAATCCTCTTATGCATATCACTGGAACGGTAGTAGTGGCTCAGTTAAAGCAGGCTGGTAAATGCGCTTAAGAACAATTAAAAATTTTCAGCATCCAAAGTTCAAGTTTTTTTTTCAGTTGTGTTTTTCATTAACACATTTGCTTAGTTTTCTGGGTAGTTTTCATATTTAAATCTTTTAAGGATGTTCTGCATTTATGTTTTTAATTCTACATAAAGTTTTATACTCAATATCATTTACGTTTTTTGTGTTATATTGAACACATTATTTCGTTTTTAATTCTGCATAAATATTGTTAGTTTTCAGAAAATTAAGTTTTTTTATCAAAGTAACTCCTCTGCGTTTGTGATTTTGACGTATATAAACAGTTTCATTGCATCTTTTTTTCGATTTTATTTGTGATTACTTTTCATACAAAGTTTTTGGTGTAGTGAAGTTAACTGCAGAATATTATTGAGGTGAATATTTGTTTTTGAAGTCTGGTTTTTGTTAAATTTGCGATTGATAATCAATGGCGATTTGTTAAATCATACATGCAGCATAAGGTAACGCGGCATGATCTCTTTCGGTATTATTCAAGTGAAGTTTCAGTTTTAAGTGCTAAAAATAAGTAAATGTATTTCATCCAAATCTGTATGCCATGATTTTTGTTGTATATATTTTTCAATGTTGCATAGTTTTCTTTCATTCATAAAGTGTTTCATTCCATAGTACACGCTGTTATGAAAACGCAAATCACGACACATGATTGAGATTAGATTTAGTATGTGATGTTGGAGGTAGTAATTCTAATGCGCATTCACTAAGCAAATTAAGAGTTCTATCAGTAAAACTTTCTGTATCATAGGGAAAGATGTCTAATGTGATCTCATGCTGTCATTCTGAAACGGCGCATATGGTGACTCTGGTAGGAGAGGTTTATGGTTAGTGCGATTAGAGGCCTCGCAATTCATATGAATTTTGTTTTAATCTAGAGAGACAGTTATTAAAAGTTCTTTCAGCTAAATTTGCATATTCATTTTGATACTCAGCTCATTTTATGTAATAATTGATGTATGTGTGTGCATAAAATTTTTCTATCTATACATGGATGGAGTTGGTGGTTTTGTTGATTGGGTGGTGTCTTACAGTTCGTATCATTGAGGGTGTGTATTATTCAAAAGGTAATGATAGAATGCAGAATGTCTAGGATTGGCTTATATTATTGGCTTACATTATTTTTGAAAGCATAAGTAATGGGAATTTTGTACTGATGTGATACTAAATTAATGAATTGAAATTTACAGGGCGATTAACAGGCTTACAATGCACTCAGTATTCGTTTTGCTCAGAACGTGATCGTGAACAATGGCTGGAAAGGCGTATATGGTATAAGAAATTGGTTGCACTCAAGAACCAAGGCGTCGAAAAATTGTAATTCCAGCTTTATTTTTTTTGGTTACAAGATTTTTCAAATTTACAAACATTTGCCAAATTTAGAGTAGAAGTAATCGTCACTAGTCTTGTTGGTTGAAAGCCAAGTGAATTAGTGTAAAAGGGTTATTAAATGCAGTAAATATAATTTACAAATCATTTTAACGTTTAATAGAACTGATTTAGAAATGTATTCTATTCAAATAATTTCAAATTGTGGTTGAGAAAAAATTGATGTGAATTTGGTTATGATAATTGCAATTTTTTGCTTTTCATTTAGCTCAAACTATTCTGTGTCAACAGTCCGATGGCGTAATTATTTCTGCTATGAATATCAAAGTGTACCATTTCTGATGGACAATGACAGTATTAACTGGCAAATATCATGTTTATGGAATGGTAATGATATGAATGGTACTTGTGCTCCTGCACCGCCTAGCAATAAGCCAGTTGCCTACATTATACCTCAGCAATGGCAACGGTTGTTACGTGTCAGTTATGATTTCGTTCTTGCTCAGCCAATAAACCTGTTTTTGTTATTCAAATAAACTGGATATAGACTAGTCCCAGACTTGTTTCTGATTTTTCAGAAATTTCGAGAAAGCATAGGATGTAATTTGAGAGCAATAAGTGAAGCTGATAAGGTACTTTTTTGATGCTCAATCCTCATTAAGTTATAGCGTTAATTTATATATATTTTTTGTCCCACATACTAAAAGTAATTCATTTAGATAATATGTGGAGATGAGTGTGTTCATTGTCTTTATTTTCTAATAGGAAGGACGAGGATAGTAATAAAGTACATGATATTTGAATAATAGTATCAATGTTTCCTGATGTTTTTTGATGATGCTTGATCTCACTAAACATCGGTTAATATTGATTAATTATTTGGCTATGTGGAATTTCAAAAACAGCAGAGCATTATAATGCTTCTGTGCTGCTTATAAGAAACTCGATAGTTAAGATTTTACTATACCAAAATCCATGAAAACATAATCCACATGAAATATTCACAGGCTCAAGAACTGTACATATGTACAGAACGTTGTGTACAGGGTGGAATTGGATACATGCCGGTTTTGCTCATCTCTGCTACACTCATGGTATCCATTACTTTAATTTGCTTCAGAGGGTAACAGTTATGTCATTTTAAAGCAGAACATGTTTGCTCATTACCACTGTAATCAACTTCTCAACAAATCTGATCATCATATTTCTACTGTCTTCATGTTCCAAGTATTTAAAGCTGAAAAACTATTTTTTTTAATATAAAAAACAAAAATAGAAGCAATAAGTTTGACATATTCAAGTCAATACATGAATTATGTGTCAGTATGTCTTTGTTTATTCACGATGCTTTCACTTAAACTTGTAGTTACATTATACAATATAATATGAATATTCCCTTCGTTACAATTGTGATGTCTCATTCCGATGTACTGTAAAGAAATTATTTGCACTTTACATTGGCATCCTTACCACTGGATTCTTTCCGTTGTTAGGAATTATTTATAAACAATAAGCTTGGAATATTTCTCGGCAGTTTTTTATTTTATTAGCATGCGAACGGTTGAACATCTTTTTTTGAATATTTTGGCATTGCATATTACAATTATGACAGGTTGTACGTTACATTTCTTACTTATAGTCTTATAAATTGCTTTGATTCAAATAAACTGACCACTCATTAACAACGAAATGATTTTACACATAATTCACGATAAAGTAGAGAAGAAAGAAAGCACCTCCAGATTTATTTGTTGATGAACTGATAGTGATTCAGAAGTTAGAGGAAAAAATCATTCATAGTACACAGGGCAAAAGCATAAGTCATATCAGCATGATATACTTCAAAAAATTTCATAGCATAGCTAGATTATATTATGCAATTTAACAAAAAGCGGCGTTATGACAATTGACTTACTCTGTAGTGCTTTTATACAATAAATATCAGTACAAAATGATGTAGTGGTATAAACTTATTCCAAAACAAAATAATTAGAAATTGAAATAGGTTTCTGCCACAAAATCAGTACTGGTCAAAATTATAGGAGTTCAAAATACTGTCATGTCCTAGCTGAACAATGAAATATAACACCAAGCCTAATTAAGGAAACACAAACTATGACATCTTATGCACCGATTCACTGACATGCAACGAACATCATCGAATTTGGTGGCTTCAGATGCGCAGTCATGTTAACAATATTATATACTCTACTCAGAATAATTTAAATTATTACGAAAAACCATTTGAGAAAAATTATGTGGAGAGGTACTCGTTGAATATGCGCTACATACTATGCACAGAAAGTCAAAGTATGGGTTTTATGACGGATTTACGAAGTGATTACTGGCCAATACGATGTTTATGGACAGGTAGTGATGTAAATGGTACGTGTGCTCCAGCACCACCAAGTAATAAATCTGTTTTTTATATTTCTCCTGAAGAATGGCGACAAAAAATTATAGTATGTGCTAATTTGTCTTCTTTATTTTCTTTCTAATTTGTTTTCTTTTCTTCAAACTTTAAACAAGAATACAGTACCTGATTTAGAATTAATTCTCTAATCCTAACTTCTGCAAAAAAATAAAAGCGATACATTTACGTCGTCTCCTCAATCATCTAAACATGGCACACGATTAACAACCTGTAAAAAATTGAATGTGAGATATCAATCAGACATCATTTACAATTCATTTCTAGCAATTTCGGATGCAAATTGGATGTAGTCAAGAACAGATTGAAAGAGCGAAAAAAGTACGGTAATATTATATTAATAAAACTAAATGTTAACAAATTTGTTTTTTTCTTCTTGACTAGCCATTATTTTATTTTTCTCACCTTCCTGCGTATTTTCTCTAGATATGTTTCAAGCATATCAAATGCAAAAATGAGAAAGTGTGCACAGTGATGATTTCAGTAAAAAATACAGATATAATGGTTTTTAATTTTGGTTTGCATAAGTCTCAAACCTCAATGATATAAAAAATTTTGAAAATATAGCTGGACGAACTATATGTGTGCAAAGAACGGTGTATTCAGGCAGGAATCGGATATTTGCCATCAATGTTTATAATGGCAACATTACTTGTTTCGTTTACACTGTTGCTAATGACCTGAGAAAATAACAGTAAGCGTGAAATATTTTTTAAGAGCAAGCAAATTTTTCAAACTGAATAAATACGTCAGAAACAGTATCATAATTGTACAGGTTTTTGAGGACTACTGCAAAATCTTACGGTCATAACTGGAATCATAATATATGGTATTTGCAAAAATGTACAAATGAAATACGATCAGTAATAATTTACTTCAATCACAAAATTGTCAGCATATATTTTTGTTTTGTATAGCGACAAATTTTGAGATCAGTGTATTGGATAAGTTCCGACGATACTCATCCATTTCTTCAACTTTCTGCAAATACTAACTAATCTTTTCACTGGTACTAAATCTATCTGCTATTTTTATGCTGAAAGAAACAATGAATTTGATCACAGCGAATTTTTATTCTTTTGTAAATGAGTTGACGACTCACTAAATTAAATGACTGCCAAAACTGATGGTGACAACTGAAATTACTGAATACGATAAGCACTGAAAAATCAAAAACAAGATGGAATTATTTTTTCTCAAAGACCAAACAAATTATCTCTCAAAGATCAAACAAAACAAATTATCTCAAGAGAAAGAAAACTTATGCGATAACAAAAAACTGACCTTACTCAACAGTTCAAATTTTCTTTCCATATCAGCAATAACAACATCACTCCTAGTTAAATTCTCATAATGATTATTCCGTTCCGTTAAAAGAGCATCTACTAGACTAAAAATGCCAACCGTATTTGGACATAATGTCATCGTGCAAAATTCGAACTAGAAAAAATGATAAAAAGATTTCAAACTGAAATATTTAAAAAAAAACACTTTTCGATTGCTATAATAATATACGGCATTAAAATATCCTATAACAACAATAATTTTCGAAGCCAGCAGATTTTTAATCCGACATCACTGTTCATTATAACGTGATATTTACTGTAAAAGTACAGCTACAATTTTGTTAAATTTATTTTAAGTTTAAGAAAGAAAGACAATGTATATCACAGCGATGTCAGATTAAAAGTTCAGAATTGAAATTCAAATACTTACCTTTAGACCGTCCTCATCTGGTCGATTCCATTTCACCTGTAATTTAAACCAAAAAAGAGAAATGAAAAAGAAAATTTTTCTGAAAATAAGACGCAGAAACAGCAAACTTAAGTTTTTTAGTTTTCAAAAGATTTTATTATTCTGGACAAATTTCAGAACGAAAATACGTGTGCTTATTCCACAAATTATTCAAAACGAATAAAATGTTATACCTGAACATCATCAGAACGCTCTATACTTATTGTAATCTTTGGGTCACAAAGTTCGGCGATGAATTCATCATCTGAGCTGAAGTCACTCTCTTCACGTAATTTGATCCAACTTTCCTGGTCATCTAGAATAGTAATTGCTATTGCTAATTATAATTACAATCGTCAGTTACTAACATTACTATCATTATTATGATAAGTAGATTGTCAACAAAATAAACGAAAGATATTATAAAGCATAAGATGATTTGCAAGCAACTGTTGGAATAAATCTTGTCCAAAAATCTATGAGCTAGATTTGATTTCATGCTTATGAAAAAATAAGAAAATGTAGTGTATAACTTTTGAAAAATTTTATGCTTTTAAGCAATAATTTCTATCAAATATGTCACACACTCTTAGTAAATACTTACGTAAAAAATGAAATTTTTTTGCAATATTAAATCATTCAAAAGATTAAAAAACAACCACAATGTAAGAAAAAATTGAATATAAACTTACAAGAAGCAGTAAAAAAAGAGCTGTCAGAGATGAGAGCAAGAACGACATATTCATTCAAATCATTATTTTTGCCAACAAATATAAGAGCAGTAGATAACTGGTCATCTGCGTAAAATTCACAACGACGGCTTACTTTCAAATCTAACATCTAAAAATGAGTTGTTCTGTTAAAATTTGAAAGTTATACATCAAATCTCATTGATATTTCGAAAAACATTTCAAATAAAAGGAGTAAATATTGAATATAAATATCTGTAGTTCAGTAAACGTGATGCGCATGTTCTGATGAGCGTGAAACGTAGAACAGAAAATCAACATTGCTAATTATTTCTACAAAATTCGTAGATCACAAATCAGAGCAGTATACAGAATGATGTAAAGTAAGAAGATACATTTATAAGAATGGCGTAATCTATGAAGATACATTTTTTAATATATATTATATCTTAATTTATTAATTTGACCATTCACTCACTTAATCATTTAATCATCTACACATCTGAGTATCCATTCATTCAATCAATTATTCATTCACTGAACTACTCATTTAATCACTCAATCACTTGATCATTCAATCATCCACTCATTCGTTCATTTACGAGGGCCGTCTCGTAAAATGTGGACATGAAGACTCAAGTTTCACTCAAGAGATGATAGAGATGATGTGTAAGAAGAATAAGTGAGTAGATTAAAGTTTCGAATTTCGATAAATTACGAGTCAAGGAGGCTAAGATTTCGTTGACTTTACGTGTACGCCACAAATCCTATGAATTTTCATTCAGTAGTATAATTTATGTGAGGTGAAATTTGCATATTCGATAAGATGCTTTTTTTCTAAAACAAAATGTGATGATATAAGGGGTCGAAATGATGATGATAGATTATTTGTCTATGTTTCATACGTGGAGACGTCTCATTCCAAGTGAAGTTTGCATTTAAAGGAGAGGTCACGTGGGTGTACAGCAAGGATATATCGTTGTGATTTACCACCACTTGTTAACAACATTTGTGTTGCATGAAATCAGCACAAGAAGTTTGTCTGCTTTTGCTCATTTTTGCTAATTTTGGAACAGATTCCATTTACTGTCCTCCTGCTATTAAAAAGCGAATTACTTCCCAGATGGCGAACAATTCGAAATTTCTCCTAATATGTATGAAACAGTACTGTGCCGCTTTCTTCTCTCTCTCGGATTATTTGTGTCAGATTATTTGTGCTATTTCCTTTAATCTGTAACACTTCTCATTTTCTTCGTCAACCTTTGACCCTTTATATCACTTCATGTAATCCTTTGTGCGTATTGCATTGTTATACCAATGAATTTTTCTTTTCAAAATTTGTTCAGACTCAATTTCTGTGTAGAGATAAAATATTAAATACTAACTTCTGTAGCTCTTTTCTTTCTTGCAAAAACAGTAATAGTGCATGCTGCAGTTGAATTATACTCTCGTTTTTGTTCTAAGATGACACTGTTTCTAGTAGCAACGAATTTTTTAAGTAATTGATGTGAACTATACTTCATATTAACTATCATACTGGTAGAATTCATTGCAACTTGCTCGTGCTCTTTTAGAGGAGAATCAGAACAGTCTAACACATTCATATGCATCAAAAGCTGATGATTTTCGATGAATCACAAGCATCCAACGCGAATCAAGTAGCAACGAATAAATCATAACTTTTCAAAATATTTCAGGCCGAACCAGTAAGTTTAGATGAATCACCTGGTAGTCAAGATGAATCACCTGATGGGGCGAATCAGGCATCCACGCCTCCTTCTTCAGAGCAAAGTGATTCCCGAAGTTCAAGAGAAGAAGATTCAGAGGACGATCTGCCACCACCTGTAGTATTCAATCATCCATTAGTGAACAGTTTGTTAGATCGATTCATGCGTGCGCAATTACAACCGGATAAAAATTCCACTACTGTCAACATGGCTTCAACCATTACATCTGTTCCTTCTACAAGCAACATTGGTCACAGTCGCAACAATTTAGCGGGAAAAAAGTTATTTTTTCATAAGTTACTGTTTAATTTTGTGGTTGAACTTTCAAATTAGTGTGTATATTTATTTTTCTCAAAAGAACCCAAGTTATCGTTATTACTCTGTACTACGCATTTAATTTGTTAGGAAGTTACAAAATTGAACAATAATCTTTAATCGTTCTTCTTATTTTTAGTAATACTTTCATTATATAGTTGTTTTGAAGTTTGATCAGTGTTTATTTTCCAAGTTATACAATAGCAACTGATAAACTGGAAGTATATAATAATTATCCTCACGAAATGATGAAAGTTGTCTTCATAGAAACACAACTTTCATTAAAAAAAATTCTTGACTAGTCGCAGTTCCGCGTTAGCCTGACTTAGATTTCAGTGCCATTTATCTAGTTTCCTTTTCAAAAATTCACC